AGGATTTGCGGGACGCCTTTGACCAGATGAAGGCGTCAGTCGACAAGGACATGGATACTCTGCAAGCGACCATCGAGGGCTTGGTAGAGGAGCTCAGTAAGAAGAAAAAGTGGTAGAGTGATATTCTGCGGTCGCAGAACGGTCTACAATCGACCCTTAGATAGAGGGCATGCGCATAAAGCAGTGACCGCAAAGCGCGGGTTGCGCCCCTCTCTCCTCCTCCGCTGCTCTTGCTTCACCTTCCTCCTCCTCCCGTTGTATTTGTTTCACCCCCGCCGGTGGTCTGGAAAGCGGACGAGGGGGCACGACACGCACTTCAGCTCTGGCCCCTTGCGAGCGGCAAAAAATAAAAAAAAAAATCCTGGCGAAGGGCCCAACCATACGCAATTCCGAATGCCGCCGTTGTAAGTATCGTCGTTGGTGGAACACCCGATGGGGCCACGAAGCGTGTGAGAGGTGCGCCAAATGGAGGTGGAACTGCATGCGGACCCTGCCACTGGGGCCTTCGGTGGAGCACCCTGTGGGGCCGCGAAACGTGTGAGGGGTGCGCCGAAATGGAGGTGGAACTGCATGCGGACCCTGCCATTGGCGCCCTCGGTGGAGCTCCCTATGGGGCCGCGAAACGTGTGAGGGGTGCGCCGAAATGGAGGTGGAACTGCATGCGGACCCTGCCACTTGGGCCTTAGGCGGAGCTCTCTATGGGGCCACGAAACGTGTGAGGGGTGTGCCGAAATGGAGGTGGAACTGCATGCGGACCGTGCCACTTGGGCCTTAGGCGGGGCTCCCTATGACGCCACGAAACGTGTGAGGGGTGCGCCGAAATGGAAGTGGAACTGCATGCGGACCCTGCCACTTAGGCCTTAGGCGGAGCTCCCTATGGGGCCACGAAACGTGTGAGGGGTGCGCCGAAATGGAGGTGGAACTGCATGCGGACCCTGCCACTGGGGCCTCAGGTGGAGCTCCCTATGGGGCCACGAAGCGTGTGAGGGGTGCGCCGAAATGGAGGTGGAACCGCATGCGGACCCTGACACTTGGGCCTTCGGTGGAGCTCCCTATGGGGCCACGAAACGTGTGAGGGGTGCGCCGAAATGGAGGTGGAACCGCATGCGGACCCTGACACTTGGGCCTTCGGTGGAGCTCCCTATGGGGCCACGAAACGTGTGAGGGGTGCGCCGAAATGGAGGTGGAACCGCATGCGGACCCTGACACTGGGGCCTTCGGTGGAGCTCCCTATGGGGCCACGAAACGTGTGAGGGGTGCGCCGAAATGGAGGTGGAACCGCATGCGGACCCTGACACTTGGGCCTTCGGTGGAGCTCCCTATGGGGCCACGGAACGTGTGAGGGGTGCGCCGAAATGGAGGTGGAACCGCATGCGGACCTTGCCACTGGGGCCTTCGGTGGAGCTCACTATGGGTCCACGAAACGTGTGGCCATGATGGAGACGGCGATGATGATGACGACGATGGTGATAAGAACGATGATGATGATGATGCTGATGATGACGGTGACGATGACGATGATGATGATGCTGATGATGAGGAGGAGGAGGAGGAGGAGGAGGAGGAGGAGGAGGAGGAGGAGGAGGAGGGGGAGGAGGAGGAGAGGAGGAGAGACGCGGGGCACCGTCTCTTCAAAACGAGGACCCAACACCACAGGATGGTTGGGACAAATACTTTCGAAGGTTACCCTTTCATCTCACCTTCGGCGCATCCTTGGCCGCTTTCGCTGGCCGCGCCCCGCCCGCAAAAGTGTCGACACACGGCCTTCCCAGGCCCTTGTATCCGCATCGTGAATCTTTACTACATGGGTTGCCTGTCTTCCGAAACGGAGTGTGGAGAATATTTTTTCCCGATGCTACACTCTACGGCTCCCTCTGCGTGCGCCTCCTGCACGAGCACGGCGGGTCCCCCGCAGACACCACGCTCGTGTGTGTCCGGTCCGACGCTACACTGAGCGAAAAAGGTATCCGCATCCGCGGCCTCGTGGGCTGGGCCCTTGGGTCGCGACCCTGCGGAGACGGGGCATGCAATTGCGGATGCCCTGCGCGGACCTTATCCGTGCGTCCGTATTACAGTTGAGACCCAGGCCAAGAAACACCCTGCTTGCCTCCAGGGTGCCCTGGGTTTCTTGGATTACGATGGTGTTCTGCGATGGAAAGCGCGACGCTCCCGCACCGAAAATCAATGGTCGTCGTTTTCGTATTCATTGTTTTGCCGATCGGCGCTGGCCCTCGCACCCCCCTCTTCCCCCCCCTCTGGAGTAGATTTTGGATGTTGTTGGCGCCTGTTTCCAGCAGGTGGGGTCTCCCCCATGGACGTCCGTTGGTTTTCTTGTGGAAGGTTTCCTGTGGACGGGCTCCTACTGTATACGTGCGCCCTCAGTGCGGGTTGGCTGTACCAGCCTCCGCTCCGGAGCTCCGGGTCCGGCGCGTGGGCCCATCGTGCTCCCCGACCCGGGCCCGCCCCTCCGAGGTGCGCGAGCAGAAGAGCCCCGGGGGAGGAGCCCGCCGCGGCGGCCCGCCGCTTTTTCCGACGCACCCCGCCGCGCGCCCCGAACCCTATTCGGCGGCGAGCATCGACCCCCCAATCGCGCATTGATCGCCGATAGGGGGCCCGATAGTCCCATCCTGCGCAGGAAGGTGCGGATGCACTGTCGGGGGCCTGTCGCCGAGCCATCGGCGACGTGTCGCCGACTCCAGGCGATGTTTTCCCCCCATGCCAGTCCCCCATATGGTTGCCCCTGAGGATTGGGGGGAGAGGAGCTGGCCAGCACCACCGTCCGAGGGCGGAATTTGTCCATCACAACGGCGGCGGCGAGCGAGGGGGGGAAATGATGAGGAGAAGCTTCTCAGAGGGTTCTGAAATCCCCCGGCCTTAGAAGCTTGCTAAGCCTTTCCCGAATGCCAAAAGCTTCTCGGAAGGAACGAGGGCTTCTCGAGTCCCGCCGCCTTCTGAGAAGGCCTTCTCCTTCTCATTCCCCCCCTGGCTCGCTGCCGACCCATCCTCGCCGATCAAAGATTCAGGCAACGCGGTGGGCTGCGGGGGCAGGGTTCGGAATTCGTCTAACACGCGCGGCGACATCCGAAGCCTGCCCCCACCTCCCATCGCTTCTGGAGGGTCGATGGTCGGTGCGGGTAGGGCTCGGATGTCGCCACCTCACGCTGGCGCAGGCGTTCAAGGTTACAGTGGAAACCCATGCCAAGAGACACCCTGCTCGCCACCAGGGTGCCCTGGGTTTCTTGGGTCTCGTGGAAGGCTTCTCGTGGTCGAGCTCCTGCTGGAAACGCCAGTGGGTGGCCAGCATGGGGAGAACGTCCTCTTTGCGGTCTCGGGGTGGGTGAGGGGGGGGGGGGGGGCGGGCCGCCCGCGGCCCCGGCTGGGCGCATCTTGGAAGACCTGCCCGAGAGGTGCCCACGGGGTGGTGCTGGCCGGCCTGTGCGGAGCGCCAGTGGCCCTCGGCAGGCTCGCGCCGCCTGCGGCACGGGCCGCGCCGCGTCGGCCGGCGGCGACCTCGCCGCCGGCGCTCCGTGCTGAACGCCTGCGGCGACCCAGAATCGGTCGATGTTAAACGATCTCACGTTTCGGCAGAAACGGCCGATCGTTCAAGGTGGATTCAGCCGCGCGCAGAGGGGGGTGGGCGGAGGGGGGAGGGCCTCTCAGAAGCACCCCTTGCTTCTCAGAGGGCGCGGGCCTTGTCTCTATAGAGGTGTAAGGCCGGCGCCTTCTGAGGAGCAGCCTCCCTCCAAAGAAGCCCCCCCCTCCCTCCCTCCACCCCCCCTCTGTGCGCACCGCCGAGATCCCCCGCGGCGTGGGGAACCCACGCCGGGGTCGACACGGCGCGAGCCCGCGGCCTGGCGCGTCGGCGGCGCCGGCGCGGGCGCTCAAGGCTGCACGGGCCCTCCTGCCGCGTTGGGCCCCGAGGGCCGCATGGGACGTGCCCCGCGGCGCGAAGTCCGTTCCGGAGGGGAACAAACACACACCAACACACCCACACACACACCAACACACTATGAATCGTCTGATCCAGGGAAATTCTGGGAAAAACTTGGAAGTGGGGGGGAAGACGGGAAGCCAGAAAATATGGAAGAATATGGGGAATATTCAGTTGTATCTATTTATTTGCGTGTCCCAGGGCCCCTGCAAAGAAACACACAGAAGTCGGGAGTCTTGAGACGGGGGTCAATGCAAACGGGGGTCAGCCAGAGCGCCCAATCTTGCAGGATCCTGCAGGGCCTGGGTCGCATGGACCCGGGTTTGGGTGCAGGATCCTGGAGGATCTTGCAGGGTTCTTCGCGTTGACCCTGGCTTGGGTGCAGCATCTTGCAGGATCTAGCAGGATTCTGCAAGGCCTGACTGACCCGGGTCTGGATTGACCAGGGTCAGAAGATCCCCGAAGACACAATGAATCGTCCGTTCCGGGGAAATTCTCTGAAAATATGGGAAGTGGGGGGAAGACGACGACCCAGAAAACAGAGGAAGATGAGGACATCCTGGGTTTCGTGTGTGATTTGTGTGTCCTTGGGCCCCTCTGTCCGTGCGAGAGGTGTCGTCGAGAGCCTGTGGGGGCCTCTCCGAGGGCAGAGGGCGCTCGAGGCTGAGCGGCTCGCCCGGTGGGCGACGCTGGATTCGGTGGCAAATCATATGTGAAGGGCATAACAAACGCCCCTACCCTGGCTTACGAGGCGCTGTGCGCTGAAACTCCTGTGGGCTGACAGGGTAAACCCTACGTGATGTGCCGCGTCCTGGCGGCTCTCGGCTTTGGGGGTTCCCAGGAGGTTTACAGACCACGCATTGGTAACCCAGGGTAGGGTCGTTTTTTTCATCCCTCAAATATGAGCCTGGTATGCCCTCTTGATTTCGCCTTCCGCGTCCCGTAGCGTCTTGGAGTCGACGAGCTAGCGCCGATTTAGAGTCGGCTAGCGTCGACCAGCGTCGATTTAGCGTCGATTTAGCGCCGACTTAGCGTCGACGAACGTCGATTCGCGCGAGCCGACAAGATGGTATGGGAAGCTCCCATGAGTTGCCACCGAAGCTGGGGCCCGCGCCGGCGTGGCAAGGGCGTGCCGTTCTCGGGTGTTTGCCCTGTCTGGCGGGCGGGTGGGCCCCCGGAACGACAGGGTTGTTCTTGTTTCCGGTTCCGCCGCCGTTGTTTTACCAGTTCCAGTTCCAATCCCGGAGCCGTTGCCCTTTCTTGTCGCTATGGTTTCCCGTTTCCAATTTCGGGGACATTTTTTCGGAAGCGGTGACACCGCAGCCTTGCCGTTTTCCAGGGCCCACCCAGGTGACCTGATATGGGGGACGAAGAGTAGGGCCCCTTTAAGTCCCTCGTCTTCCCCCCCATTTTAGTCGGGGGCAGCCCAGAGGGGGGTGGTGACAGAGGGGGTGGACATCATGGCCTGGGCCATGAAATCTCCCCAGATTCCACGGCGCCTCTTCTTACCTCATGGCGTCCCTGCCCCCCCCCCCTGGGCCGCGCACGTGCCGCCGGCCATGATCTGCGCCCCCCCCCTCTTGGACTCGGGCCGGACAAAAGGGGGGGATTGGGAAAGGGGGGGTTACGAAATTTGCTGCATGCAGCTGATTTCGGCCTCACCGAGGAGCCCATTCCTCGATACATAGCCGCCTCCGGCGCCGGGAGGCGCCAGGGAAATCAGCTACGTGAGCTGATTCTCAAAACCCCCCTTTGCTATCCCCCCCTTTCGCCCGACCCGATGGACGCCCCCCTTGGTGCCACCCGCCCGAGAGTGGTCCGTGTCTGGGGCTGGGAGGTTCCTTCGCCGCCGGGCTGGGCTCGGCTCGGGGAGCCCGTCGGGCCAGATTCTGCCGAGGGGGTTTCAGCCGAGTGGGGGCACAGCGTTCAGGAGGGGAAAAAGCACGCAGACACAATGAATCGTCCATCCCCAGGAAAATATTGGAAATTATGGGAAGTGGGGGGGAAGACGAAAACCCAGAAAATATGGGGAACAATCTGGGGAATCCGTTTATTTGTGTGTCCCAGGGTCCCTTCAAGGGTGTTGAGGTGGGTCAGGTTTCGGCGGTCTCAGGAGCAGGAGGCATGTAAGCCGTCCGATGGTCTAGGCCTCCCAGATGGGGTCGGGGTCGGTGTCGGAGGTTCGCGCCGCATGGCCGATGCATCGCCGATGCGGCTCGATGTGCAGCCCGAGTTGTTTCACGTCGACGTCGCCGACGCATCGCCGACGTCGAAGATGCATCGCCGATGCGGCGCGATCCTCCGACCCCATATTCTCCGACCCCATCTAGGAGGCCTCTAGATGGTGAGGGTAGCTTTCAAGTGAGTGCAGTTACGGCAAGGCCACTGATGACCTTGAAAAGTTCAGAGGCAGCGTCGGGAGCATGTCTCGAGGGCCTCAAGGGGGGTTAGTTCGAGGAAGGTTCGGCCAGAGGCGACGGCCGTCAAATCGAAGCACGGGATCAGCCTGAGCAAGCCCAGGAGTCAACCAGAAATACATGGCACCACGTCATTGCGGGTAAGAGTGAGTGGCGGGCGCGGGGTGGGTCGCGGGTGGGTCGTGGGCGAGTAAAGGGTGGACCGCCGGGTGGGTCGCGGCTGGGTCGCGGGTGGGTCGCGGGCAGAGTCGCGGGCGGGACGACGACAATACACAACAAACAACAAATCAACAAACAACATTCATCATCAATAACAGCAGCAACAACACCAAGAACAATCATAGCAATACCACCACCAACAACAATAGCAACATCAACAGCAATGACAACACCAACACCAACTACAAACAACAACAAACAACAGCCACCAGCAACAACGACCACACAACAGAAACAACAACCACCAACAACACCAACACTTACTACAGCTACAGTAATCACAACAATCATATCATCAACAGCAACTCTCAGTTTAAGACTGTTTGCTCTTACCTGATCGCATGCCAGTCAGCACGTATATCCCAAACCCTCGGTACCCTTCTTCTTCATTCTCGATCGCACCACTTAGGGTATACCTTATTGTAGTGGCCTCCGGCCAGTGCCGCCGATCCGGGGCGCTCCGGATGATGATGATGATGATGATGATGATGATGATGATGATGATGATGATGATGATGCTGATGCTGATGCTGATGCTGATGCTGATGCTGATGCTGATGCTGATGCTGATGCTCATGATGATGATGATGATGATGATGATGCTGATGCTAATGCTGATGCTGATGCTGATGCTGATGCTGATGCTGATGAGGCTGATGATGGTGATGACGATGACGATGACGATGACGATGATGATGACGAGGATGAGGAGTAGGAACTATGATGATGATGATGATGATGATGATGATGATGATGATGATGATGATGATGATGATGGTGATGATGAGGATGATGATGATGATGGTGATGGTGATGTGACGATGGATGGTGACGGTGATGGTGATGGAGATGGTGATGATCCCGGCCCCCCTCCCCACCTCCCCTCCTCTCTCCTGTCCCCCTCCCCCTCTCTCCTGTCCCCCCCTTCTCTCC